AGCAATGAAGACCCAACACAGCCAAAAATAAATAAATAAAATATGCTGATGATTTCAGAAAAAAGTCCAATACCTATTTGTAATAAAAAGCCAGATAAGTAGGAATGAGGTAGTAGAACTACCTCATCTTGCTAATGAACACCTACAAAAAGACCTACAGTTAATATCAAACTTAGTTATGGAAAACCTAGGACTGGGAACCAGGCAAGGAGGTCCACTCTCACCATCCTTATTTTACATATGGCAGAAGTTCTAGCCAGTGCAATAAGGCAAGAAAAGGAAAGAAAAAGTATACACATCTGAAAGAGACAAAACGGTTCCTGCTTGTGGATGACATGACTGTCTACGCAGAAAATCCCAAGGAGCCAACAAAAACTCCTAGAACTAACAAGAAAGTTCAGAAAGGTTGCGATACAAGCTGTATAAAGAGCAAGCAGGAGAAAGCAGAGGGTGGATGGGTTGAAAAAAGTAGAAGACTCAACGGTCTGAAGTCCAGAAGAGTTCAAAGAATGCGTTTACACTGAAAGTCAGCGGGTAAATAAAAAGGAGAAGCTGGGTCGGGGAGGGGGGGGACTTTTATTCTGCTGCTACTGCAGCTTCTCTATGCTACCTGCTACCTAAATGTTCAATGGCTCCAGCAAAGAAGAAAATGAGGTGGTTTATTTTTTGACAGCAATTAAACACCTTGCTGGTCTCCCAAAGTTACTGATGAGAGACCAAGCTATTTGGGTTAGGAATTCTAAAACCTTTATATATGCGCCTTTCCGTTATTCTATTCTGGCTCTAACAATTAAAACAGTAAGTCTACGCATCAACAGGCATACCTCGTTTCAGTGCACTTTTTCATTACTGTGCTTTGCAGGTACTGCGTTTTTTTGGTTTTGTTTTTTTTACAAATTGAAGGGTTTGTGGCAAACCTGCGTCAAGCAAATCTACTGAAGCCATTTTCCCAAACAGCACTTGCTCCCTTTGTGTCTCTGTGTCACATTTTGGTAATTCTCACAATATTTCCAACTTTTCCATTATTACTGTATTTGTCATAATGATCTGTGATCAATGATCTTTGATGTTACTATTGTAAAGAGATTATGACTTGCTGAAGGGTCAGATGATGTTTATCATTTTTTTAGCAAATAAAGTATTTTTTAATTAAGGTATGTACACTGTATTTTTTTTCCAGATATAATGCTATCGCACCCTTAAAAGACTACAGTATGGTGTAAACGTAACTTTTATATGCACTGGGAAACCAAAAACTTCATGTGACCCATTTTATTTGCTTTACTGCAGGGGTCTGGAACCGAACCTGCAATGCCTCCTAAGTATGCCCCTACAGTAAAAAGCTGAACAGGTCTCTAAGAAATTTTGAGTTAAGGCTTTCTTACAATCTGTTATTTTTTAACACAGAGCCTAACGGAACTGTTTCCATCCTCAACCCTACCCCTATAAGCGCACACACACACACACACACACACACACACACACAGACACACACGGACACGCACACATACATATGCACATTTCACAAAAATAAGGAAACGGGGGGCAATGTTCACACCTGGACAATTAGAATAAAACGTTGCTGGGATGCTCCCAATGCCACAGGGTTTTGGTATTCCTGATGATTAAATCATATTGTCAGTTCATTAAAACTCACAGAGTATTCAAGATATATGTGAATCAAGCCATCATGCTGTATCCCTTAAACTTATACAGTGATGTAGGTCAATTATTTCTCAATAAAACTGGGGAAAAAATACTCATGGAGTGCATATATATAATTTTCTAGGCAAGGCCTCCAACATGGTGTGGTCTTTCTCCCCATTGCCAGCACCGTAATGAGATTCTGTCTCATATATAATAATAAAGGCATGAAGCACAAACTTGCTTTTCTGCCACCAATGCTACCTCCTTGCCCATTACTTTCCATCTTGGTGTCAACAAGTTTTAAACTGGAAAACCACATGAATACACACACACACAATTAAAAGCATGTGTCAAGTCGGTCTCTTCAATAAGTGATGCTGGGAAAACAGGACAGCTACATGTAAAAGAATGAAATTAGAACACTCCCTAACACCATACACAAAAATAAACTCAAAGTGAATTAAAGACCTAAATGTAAGGCCAGACACTATAAAACTCTTAGAGGAAAGCATAGAACACTCTCTGACATAAATCGCAGCAAGATCTTTTTAGACCCACCTCCTACAGTAATGAAAATAAAAACAAAACAAAAAAAAACAAATGGGACACAATTAAACTTAAAAGCTTTTGCACAGCAAAGGAAACCATAAACAGAAAGAAAAGACAACCCTCAGAATGGGAGAAAATATTTGCAAATGAAGCAACTGACAAGGGATTAATCTCCAAAATATACAAACAGCTCATGCAGCTCAATATCAAAAAAACAACCCAGTGAAAAAAACGGGCGCAAGACCTAAATAGACATCCCTCCAAAGAAGATATACAGATGGCCAACAAACACATGAAAAGATGCTCAACATCACTAATTATTAGAGAAATGCAAATCAAAAGCACAATGAGGTATCACCTCACACCGGTCAGAACGGCCATCATCAAAAAATTTACAAACAATAAATGCTGGAGAGTGCGTGGAGAAAAGAGAACCCTCCTACACTGTTGGTGGGAATGTAAACTGGTGCAGCCACTGTGGAGAACAGTATGAGGTTCCTTAAAAAACTAAAAATAGAGCTGCCATATGATCCAGCAATCCCACTCCTGGGCATATATCCAGAGAAAACCATAATTCGAAAAGATACATGCACCCCAGTATTCACTGCAGCACTATTTACAATAGCCAGGACATGGAAACAACCTAAATGCCTATCAACAGAGGAATGGATAAAGA